ATCTAAAAATATAAAAATAAATAACAGAGTTTTTAAAAATCTAATTATTTTGATAATAAAATAAAAATAGTTTCATGCTTCTAATTTATCTGAAACTGGAAATGTTTAGTGTGATTTATGTCAGAACAATTGTGCTTTCTGGTTTTAACTCTGCGTCTTTCCGCTATAAATTAAAAGCCCGCGGCATCTGTGGATATTTTGCTTTGCTTCCAGAATAATTCCTATTTTAAAAGCTTCCCTTATCTATTTCTGCCCCTCTCAGTCTATTAGTAGACAAGCTCCCCTTTGTGCTGCAGAGAAGCCTGCATCAGTGTGAGCGGGTGGAGGAGGAGGTGCTGCTGGTGGTGGGGAGACTGCCGGTGCTGTCAGGACTGGGCTGGTCGTGCAGCTGACTGGATGTTAACGCGCATCTCCGCTCAGTCTCATGATTTTATCACCCGCAGCCTGAGGAGGACCGAGAGCGCACCGAGCCGCGGCGTCTCCACCATGCATCATCCGTCTTCTAGGCGACTGTACCCGTTGATGCGCCCCGGTTCGCCAGCTCCAGCCCCGACCACGGCAACATAAAGGCTGCGGCTTTCTATCGGGAATGACAAAGCTCCCAAGATGGTTCGCATCGCCAAGGCCCTGGGCTTGTTTATCCTGAGCGTCGTGGTGCTCATCCTGTCGCTCATCAGCTACGTGTCTCTGAGGAAAGACAGCCTCTTCGGCACTGGCAGATATTACTCCGGAGGCCCGCGGATTATGTTTCATGCAGGCTTTAGGTGAGTACGGATTTTCGGCTGCAGATTGAGGGCAGTTAATGAAATGCAGACCAGGGCTAGTGTGAATGTAAACAGAGGAGTGTGGCCTGTTTGAGGGTCCCCGCATCTCCATTTCTCATACTGGACTTCATTCAGCTGAACGGTGAGCTCTCCAGAGTACTGATGTCTGTGCCTGTACCTTCTTAAAAACAGTCCCAAATTAGGAAATCAGCTGTATATTCACTGTAAAAACATGCAGGTTATCATAACCAGTTTCTATGTCTCTGAATATTAGAGGGATAACTAATCCACACTTCAGCTCCAATCTCACCTAAAGATGTCTGATCTTATTTCATTGAAATATTTTCAAGCAGTTCTTAAAAACAAGCAATGTGATTCTATCTATCAGTGTCATTGCTTTTAAACTGTTTTGTAATTTGTTTTAAACTTGTGTGTTTTATTTTTTTACTTTTGTGTAACCAGGTTGTTGGGTGATCCAAATTTCTGCCCAGATCCCTCTTGAAAATGAGATCTGGATCTCAGTGAGGTTTTACCCAGTTAAATAAAGGAAAGATAGAACATTTTAATTTACTGATAATTGGACACCAATTTATGCCCCAATTTAGACATTTCCATTCATGGTGAGCAGTTTTACAAAATTTCTGCTCATTTTGTGTCCCAGGAACAAAACTATTCCTAATAGTTTAAGGAAGTTTTTAGAAAGAGGTCATTAGAGATGAGGGAAGCACTTTGGATTCAAATTTGAATTTTTTTGGGAGATTTGAATGATCAATTGTTTTCTCTTAATCATTTTTCTGAGAAATAAGATTTAGGTCCCTTTAATTGAGATATCTTAAGCTTTTTTGGTATCTGTCAGTGTTTTTCTTTGGGTGAAATGAACTATTCTTGATATGATTCTTAGTATCTTTTTCTCAATTCCTTAATTTATTGATTCTTTCTGTTGCTGATTGTTGTTTTACTTTGACTACACAGAAAGCTTTCCGTTTTAGTTAATTACCTGTTCCATTCAAGATTAGTCATTTTTCTCACTGGCCTGTGTATTGGCAACGCTGTAGATTTTGCTCGAGGCTAAATACGCCCACCCACTCTGTTCTACAATAAAACCACAAGATTGATCCACACTGAGCTCTGATTCCCTAATGCTATGTTGGTGTGTGAAGCATTTGGACACTGGCTGATATTTTATCCATTTTCACTAACCTTTGTGCTATTCATATTGACTCAGTCAAGAATCAGTTGGTATCTCTCTGTTTTACTTGAAATGGCATAAATAACATAAAAACAGTCTAACCTCAACTTAATTTCTTAAGTCAGATTGGGAGGCGGTTCAGAGTAATGTTGCAGCTCAAAGATCTGACTCCTTCAACCAGTCCAGAAACTCAGTAGATCTGTCTAACCTCAAAGTGTTTGGTTCAGGGTGATCTGCGGTTCCCTTTCTTCTGAAAAGTGTGGCATGCACTGTTTGCTTTTTTGTCTTCCATCTGTGTTGCTACATGTCTCTGGATGCAGAGAAATGGCTTTAGATAGATAGATAGATAGATAGATAGATAGATAGATAGACAGACAAACAGACAGACAGACAGATATTCTTTAATGTCATTACACAAAGGCACACCAATGAATTTGGCAAAGAAATATTGCTTTAATATCCGAGTCCATAGAAAATACTTAGCACTTAGAATTATTTCATAGCTAAGATCAATTTGAAGAGACAAATTTATATTTTTGGACTTTGGGGGGAAGCCAGAGTACCCAGAGAGAACCCTCTCATGCACAGAGAGAACATATAAACTCCATGCAGAAAGAACCCAGGCTGCTGGCTCCAGTGTTATCAATAGAACAGAAATAAGAAACTTTAAAAGCAAACTCTGTATTTCTTTTTGTTGTTTTCAGGTCTCAGTTTGCCATGAATTTCCTGGACCCTTCCTTCATCCCACTGACAAATGCCTTGAATGAGGAGCTCCAAGGAAAACCATTCAAATGGAAGTTCAACAGGACAGCATTTTACAAGCAAAGGCAAGAGCTTAGCCACCACTTTTTACATATATATCTTCGGTTGATATTTTTACAAATATCAAAGGGCGCAAACAATTTAACTACAACAATACCACAGAAGAAGAAATAAAGAAAATGGGCTCCTGATCTTAAAGCCACACAGTTATAGCAATGAAGCAGTTTTCTAAGGTGTTTACAGTCAGGTAAAGGTACAATCCAAATAACAAAAAGAAGACATTTTGTGTAATTATGACAAAATAGGAATACAACCCGGTTACATGCAGGGAAAATTCTAAAGGAAGCAGAAATGAAATCTGTACCTCTGAATGTTTGGTGCTGAAGTATTTGCTGTTTTTCAGGAAAGAAATCTTCAACTACATCGACATTCCCCACAACTTCTCCCTCACGAAGGACAGTGTGCGCGTGGGCCAGCTAATGCACTTTGACTACTCCAGCCACAAGTACGTCTTCTCCATCAGCAACAACTTCAAGTCTTTACTCCCTGAGGCCTCCCCCATCCTCAACAAGCACTATAGTACGTGTGCGGTGGTGGGAAACAGCGGCATCCTGACTGGGAGCCACTGTGGCCCCGAGATCGACCAAGCCGACTTCGTCTTCCGCTGCAACTTTGCTCCCACCGAGGTCTATTTCAAAGACGTAGGCAAGAAGACCAACCTGACCACATTTAACCCCAGCATCCTGGAGAGGTACTACAACAACCTGCTGACTATTCAGGACAGGAATAACTTCTTCCTGAACCTGAAGAAGCTGGAGGGAGCCATCCTCTGGATCCCCGCCTTCTTCCTTCACACCTCCGCCACAGTAACCCGAACCCTGGTGGACTTCTTTGTGGAGCACAAGGGTCAGCTGAAGGTTGAACTGGCCTGGCCAGGAAACATCATGCATGATGTCAACAAGTAAGATGGATACAAAACCAAATAAAGGAATAACACTCGTTAATATTAACATCTGATTTCCTCTTATTTCCATGTATTTTCAAGCACATGCTGTTAAAGAGGCGGTCTTATGTGTTTTCCAGGAACACAGTATCATTTTATAGCACAATCAAGTAACTATATTACCCTCAGTACAATATTGTTTACATCAAACACGACTTAAAAGAAATTTGACTTTGCAATTTAACACCTTAAGTTGGGCCTCTGATTTTCTTATTTATAGTTTTAGTTTATTTGTTTAGCACATTTCAGCAACAAGGCAGTTCAAAGTCCTTTACATAATAAAAAAGTAAAAATACAAAGTCATAGAAACACAGTCAGTAATTGAAACATTACTGAGGATTGTTGATAAATTTTTCAATAATTATGTTTCAAAAGCTGCTCTGAACAGGTGGGTTTTTGTACTGTTGCGTATTGTAGTGCTAAGCATTTCAGTGATTTATAATCTAACAGCAGTATTTTAAAGTCTATTCTCTCAGTGTAGGGACTGTAGAGCTGGTGTGATGTGCTCCATCTTCCTGGTTTTAGTCAGAATTCCAGCTGCAGCATTCTGGATCAGCTGCAGCTGGAGGATTTTTTAGGTAGACTTGTGAAGACGCTGTTGCAGTAATCAATGCGACTAAAGATAAACGCATGGATGAGTTTCTCTAGATCTTGCTGAGACATTAGTTCTCTAATCCTAGAGATGTTCTTCAGGTGATAAAGGCTGACTTTGTGACTGTCTCTATGTGGCTCTGAATGTTCAGGTCTGAGTCGACCCAGACCTTATTATTGAACAAATAAGCACATCTGAACTAGTTTAGAAGTATAAAAATACTTAACTTCCCGCATCCTTGATGAACCCAAAAAGTCCAAACGGTAGATCAAGCATTTTTTACCTTGACCACACCTTCCTATTTTTGGATGTGTCAGGACTCTAATCTGTGCATGAATGACACGCTGTGAAAGAGAGAGAGAAAGAGAATTACTTAAATTGTTTGTAGTGTTTGGATTGATTCCTTACTTAACTTCTCATTTCTCCCACAGATACTGGAAAACTAAGAACCTCTCTCCCAAGCGTCTGAGCACGGGGATCCTCATGTACACACTGGCGTCCGCCATGTGCGATGAAATCCACCTCTACGGCTTCTGGCCGTTCGGGTGGGACCCCAACACAGGCAAGGAGTTGCCGTACCATTACTACGACAAGAAAGGGACCAAGTTCACCACGAAGTGGCAGGAGACGCATCAGCTGCCCAGCGAATTCAAGCTGCTGTACAAGCTGCACAGGGAAGGCGTGATCAAACTCAGCCTAACACACTGCACATAGGCATACGAGTGAGTGCTAGATCGTCTCACACATCACTCCGGAAACCACGACCCACAGATAGAAACCCATTTCCAGTATTTGTTGTGTGACACATAAGCATGATAGATGGCAATTGATTTTTAATCTGTAGACAGACTCATAGTTTATTTTATATTGATAATGACCATCTTTCTGGACGTTTAGATCACACAAATGTTCAGTATGTTGTCGTGCTAAGTAGAACTGTCATGCTTCTATGATTGTCTTTTGCATGACTCCTTACTATAGCGTGACCATTTGGCAAGAATAAACATCCCTTCCAGCTGTAAAGTCAAATCTTCCAGTTCTGATTAATGCGAACGATTCACCTTTAAAACAGTGTGCTGATTATTTACACTGAAATCACTGCCTAATCTCAGGGATTGAGTTAGATCAGTGTTTTTTCTAATCAGATTTTATGCCTCAAGAGTGGTACAGTTCTTCTTTTCTGGATTTTATCCCCATGATTTATCAGACAATCTGCACTGCTCTATAAGATGGTATTGTTTACAAGATTGTCACTATAAATATCTTCATGTTTGTCTTTTTAATTTCTATAGATAGTGCCACTATCAACCTTAAATTATGTTGCAATGCTTCACTTACTTTTTCTTACAACTAACATTCCAACAATAAGCCATAAATTCATAAACAGACAATATCTATTACCATTTATTGCAGATATAGGTGTCAGCCTATGTTTTATACTTGGACTAAAGATATTTCAGCAAAACGGGAAGCATTTAAAGTCACAGAGCATTCACGTTCCAAAATTAAATATGCTGTTTAATAAGCTTACATGAGACATGAGTTCAGTTGTACAGTTACAGAAAAAAACGTTATCAGTAGAAAATAAGTGAACGCTAAATGGATTATTGTTTTCATTCAGTATTTCACAGAATATGTTACTCAAATTTAATTACTATAACAATATATAACAAATACAGTCTTCATACTAGTTTTAGTCACTTAACAGTCATGTTTTACTTTTATAGTTAGCCTGGATTTAAAAAAATATATTAATTGATAATTATTGAACTCAAATAAGTTACAAAATGGTTTCTTCAAATGTTTGAAAATTAAGAACTTTTAATCTGAAAGAGCTGTTTTTTTTATTTTCAGCTAACATCTGAGCTAAATTTTTAGTTAAATGCTTTAATTATATTTTAAATCTTAACTGCATTTAACATTTTTAACCAGTGCTTGAGAATCAAAACTGCTGAATGTGACAAAATGTTTGTCATCCGTTCGTTAATGACTTAAAAACTCACAATGTTCACTGAAATAACTGAAATACTGTGTTTGTTTGACAAAAGTAATAATGAATAAAACAAATTTGAACATTAACCAGTAAAAATCAGACATTGCTTCTGAAATGTGATTTAACAAAATCAGCTGAAAAAAAAAATAAACTAATGTAAAACGAGTAAAAAAGTAAGTTATAAGTACCATCATTTCAGTCCAGGCTTGTTTCATTAGTTTTTTCTATTAATTTATTTTTAAGACTCTGTTAAACCACAATTCAAATTCAAATGTAGGATTCCCATTGGCTAATTTTCAGTAAATTTTATTTATTATCAGTTCTGCCCATTTCACCTTATTTCAGTGACTATTGTGGGCTTTTCGGTCATTAACAGACGGGAAAACAACAGTTTTCTCCACATATGTAAAAGGCGCGAGCAATGAGAGCGAATATGTATGTTTTGGACAAAATTGTGTGAAGTAAACAATCTAGAGGTTTAACATGAATTAAATTTAAATATAATAGAGAAGATACAAAACTTTTTTTAACTACAAAAATGCTGTTTCACTACAGAAGCCTATCTGGGACATTTCCAACCTGAAATGAATGAATTTTATGACTTGCTGCATTTTGACTAAAAGCATGAGGATTCAGTTTACTAACATTGCATGGAAAGCTAACAGATATTTAGGCTAGTTTTATAAAAAAAAACCTTTTTGCAGATTGTTTGAGGGTAAATTTAGAATTTTGAAGTCATTTGTATTCCTAATTGTATAATCCATAATCAAAATATTTCTATGAGACTAGCTAGAGCAAACCTAATGCTACAAACGGTGTGGACCAAAATCGCAACATAAAATACAAGAGATTTTTTTTATTTTAAAATGTTATCTGAAATAATCCACCAAATCCAACATGAAACAGGGAAAGAACCCAAACAGTAAACGTTTACCATGTAATTTTAGGCTTTAACTTGATGTTAAATACACAGAGCAACTCATTCAGATTTAAATTGTTCATAGTGTTTCATCGCCACCCTGTCACAGAAATCTTATTAATTTATCTAAGTTTCATATTGACATAAACAGTTATATGAACTGTCGTTACTGTCTGTGCTTAGAGCCAAAAACACTACTGTGGATAAATATTTCACTCCTTATGGGTTTTTGTTTTGTTTTTCGTTTTGGGCACACTTAAATGTTTCAGATCATAAGACATTTTTTTAATTGAAGGTAATGGTTGAGACAAAATTAAGCTTTTATGTAATGAATAAAAACAGGATATATACAAACCTGTCTCAATGTGAAAATGTGATTTCACACTCTGATATAGTTATATATAGTTATAGATTTAGGATGCAATTATTTTCTCGATGTTTCATTTTTCAAATTTTTGAGGGTCTGTCCAGCTTTTTGTTTTAAAAATTAATTTAGCAACAACTTTACTTAAAAAGCTGTTTCTTATCGGTTTGTTTGATATTAATTTTTTTTTTCTGGAACATGTTTGTGTGTTCAAAATAGTAAAAACAAACTACATTTGTCAGTAAATACTTCTTCATACCTCTCACTGTACATGAAAAAACACATTTGCAGTTTGTCATATTGACTCTTGATGTCATAGATGGATAGGAATAATTTCTGTGGTTCATTTATAAAGGGACTGACACTAATTTTTGATTTGTATGCTGCATAAAATCAAGCAGTAGGTAAGATTTTAAGGTTTTGTTTTTTTTACTTTAAGATTGATGTTAAATATTTTTATTTCTTCTGCTAAATAATGATGTGGTATGGCTCCATGAATGTCCTTCATTTGGACGGATATCTTTGAAATATCTCCTGGTTCTGAGATGAATTTTGGACGGTACAAATTCATGTCAAAAGCCGGTACGTAGAATGTGTGTAAATTTAGCCATTATAATAAAATCTGTAAGGGTTGTTATGCCAGTTAATGTAAAAGCCAGAATAACAGTATATTGCTTTTTGTGCATTAAATGAACTGACACTGACATGTATCGCATAATGTATTTTTATTTTGAAATGCATCACTACATAGTCTGTCCCAACTCTCCTTTAAGAGTCATGGACTTGTGTTTTCTCTGCACGGCATCTTCGTTTCATGATGCATAAGAAAGCTTGGCTGCTTGTGTACATGCCATAAACAATGTACTGGACTGTGGTATCTGGTTTGTTTGAAGAAAAAAAAAGAACAATTGTTCTGAAACTGTCATAAATGTTTTAATTATACTCCATGATAAATAGCCATTATGTGCCTGCGAAATTCTTTCCATTAACGTTTCAGCGTGTCAATAAAAAACGTTTTTCTCTGATATCATTTCAGAGTTGTGTTACCAGTTTGCCTAAAAGATAAAATATATACAATCTTTTGCCTGAGAATTCAAACTAATTTTCAAAGCATCAACAGTCTTCACACTAAGACTGTCTTAAAATGCTAAGTTATATATATTTCACAATTTATTATTATTTGTATATTTATTATTCTACAATTTTTAAATCAGTTTTTTTTTCTTAACTCCACAAGTAATACTTGTACACCTATATGTATTTATGGTCACACTAAGAGTTTTTCCAATATTTTTTTCTGACCTTTTGTTGCCAAATTCACCATTGTGTGTTTTTGCAACAATAAATTTAAATCATGTGAATTTATGACTACTATTTCTAGACAAGCAAATATTTAACGTTCTTTAGCTGAGGTTATTTAGAAAAACTTGACATCACAAAGCAATATAATGAAGATTTCTATGAACGAAACATTAGCTCTCTCCATCAGCTGGAAAACAAATAATTCTCCTTTTATACAGTGTTTGATGTATTTTTTTTTTCACCTTGTAAAATTAACAGTCGTGTTTACGATGAGCAATGGTAAATCAGTGATCAGAACTGGACTTACTTCTCTATTTACACCTGACAAGAAGATCTTAAAAGTCTTACTGAATTTAGACAAATAAAGACATATTATAAAGATAGATTTAACTGTGGTCAATTGTTATAATGTAAAATAAAAGTGGATTGAAAGTATTTTACCTCGCTTTTCAAACCAACAGTAAAAACTAACTGCAGATTTAATGGCGGTTGTGGTTAATTGGTCTTGATTTTCAGACTGTTACACAATAAAGCCAGTTCGTGTAAGAAACGGTTTTTCAAGGTTATTAATATGGGACCCTTCTATCTCTCTGTCTAATGTTACCCTGATAATTCCTTACACTTCTATAGCCTTTACCCAAATAAGTGGTTTGAATTGTCTGTTATAAAATCTTTGTTGTAATAAAAATACATGAGAAAAGTTCTGGATAAAGTTACCTCTTTATCAGTGATCACTCTCATATATCTTTATCATTTAGACCATTTATTCCTCTACAAAGAATAAAACAGCCTACTTAAATAAGACGTCAGTTTGTTTTTGCTATTTGAGCTTTGTCATGAAACATTGAGAAAAATAATGTTTATGTCTCAAGTGTGATTTCATTTAATCTTATCTTTGCATACACTGCATAAAAATATACATTACTTTTTGCCTCTTCCAGCTGCCAGTATTTCCCCACAAACGGTACAGTACAAAAACAAAGCAAAGTAATGGAATCCACACAAAAATGTATTTAATTTCCAAGTGTTATTACTTAAAGGCAATTCTAAATAAATTAGATTTCAGACTTTATTTATAGAAGCTAAGTGTCTCAACAGTTTTGCAATTTTCCGGAAGTTTGTTCCAGATTAGATGAGCATAAAAACTAAAAGCTGTTTCTCCATGTCTGGGGGAAGAGTAGAGTTGTACTAGCAGACCTGAATGATCTGGAGGGTTGATACAATGACAACAGGTCTACATATTCAGGTTTGCAGCTACTAGTAACTTTATGTAGAATTTTATTTGTACAATTTTCACAGGAATACAGTGTTTAATGTTGTTTTTGATGTGTTTTTTTTTATTCTCCTCTGTGAAGATATTGTTATGTGCGTTTTTAAGTTAAAGACCCTGTACCTTCTAGTCTGTACCTCGACACTACGAAAAATACAACGGATAGTGTGGAAAGTTCTTA